TTTTTTTTTTTTTTTTTTACCAGTCCTTTCCATCAATCATCCTACCGTTCGACACCATGCAGCCTGAGATACAGCATCATAAACTGAGCTAAAAAAGAGGAGGAGGAGGAGGGAAAGAAGCAGCAAGCAGACAAGGAGGCAGTGTGCTCCTCAAAATAATCAGTAAACTTTTACCAAACTACACGGCATCACACCTCAAAAATGGTACTCTTATTAAGTCTACTTTCCTTCAAACTCTTCAGTCTGTAACATTTGAAAAATATACATGACTGCAAATTAAGAATCATGTTTTTAAAATAAAATATTTTGCATAATCTTGAATTAATGATATAAACATTAGAAAACAGACTCTGAGTATTCTCAGACTGGCATATAGAGGAACCTATCTCGTCTGTTTAGTTCATTCACTGTCGGAAAGAGGCAAATTTGAGATGTCTAGCAGTAATTAAAAATTAATAACTTAGTAATTTATTTCTGTGATAAATTTACACTGATGCATATCTTCTGTGTTACATTTGTTAAATATAATCTCACTGTGGTGTGCTGTTGCCATGTTCGCCGTTATTAACATATAAAAAGATTTGTGCAAACACATCACACATATGACTGATTATGTCTACACTACCTCATAACTGAACTCAGAAAACTGATGTTGCTTACTGAATGTTGAACAACCGTGAGATCTGTCTGACCAGTAAAGTCCAGTTGAACAAAATCAACATTTCATGTTTGCGCCTCTAGTACACGAACCATTATTTTTCAGAAGATACCACGTGTGCTATTTTATTTAGGAAGGTAGTATCCATTAATTACTGAAATTTGGTCAAGATTGTTAGAGTGTTTTTGAGAAATCTTCTCTTTTGTTTTTGGGGCTCATGTGAAGGGCCCATATTTTTGGAGCTAGAATGTTCATATTTTAAAGCGACAGGTGCATGAAGCTGACCACTCAACCCCAACTACTGCTGAGGGCTATAATACAGATCTAAATATGCACTCCTCCGTACATCTTCATGGTGTAATGCTTAGTTAAGTTAGGATGTTCATATTCACCAGACACTGAACTATGATGGATAAACTGGTGACTATCAGATATGACTGAAATCCATCCAGCTGTTCAGGTGCTAACAAGACCCATATCCATACCTGTAGACATACGGACCGATAGCTTTCCAGCAACCACTTCTTTGCATTCAGACGAGCCAGAATGTGCACGTCTGTCAAACCCTCAGTCATGACCACAGTACATTGTCACATGACCTCCACATATCAGAAAGTAAACATTGTATAAGTTGGAATCTGTGTGCTTGTGATGCAACTCTATACAACTGTCTCCACAAAAGGTTAAAAAAAAAGAAGGTAAAGCTGATATTTCTGATTTATTTCAAATGGCTGTCCTTTGATGTATTTAATTTTTATATAAGGGGAAGTTCTTGAGCTTATACTTTGTTCTTAATGCATACGATGGGGTACCCAAAAGAAACCGAACTAATTTTTTTGTGGGCAGAGCTTTTGTAGTACCACGTTTTGCCGCTATGAGCGCATAGAGCTAACATTCCTGAGTCGATAAGCCGCCTCCCATTGCTTCAGA